TGTAGAGACGGGGTTTCACCTTGTTGACCAGGATGGTCTCGATCTCTTGACCTCGTGATCCACCCGCCTCGGCCTCCCAAAGTGCTGGGATTACAGGCGTGAGCCACCGTGCCCGGCAAGTCATCTTTAATCTTAATTTATTTTTAAATTTTGTGTTTATTTTTTGGAGACAGGATCTCACTTTCACCCAGGCTGGAGTGCTGTGGCACAACCGCAAACTGATCTCTAGCTCCTGGGCTCAAGCAGTCCTCCAAAGTACTTTGGTCTCACCAAGTGCTGGGATTACAGGTGTGTGCCACCATGCCCAGTCAGTATCTGCACATTTATAAGCTGATGTCTGTGAAGGCAGAGGGCAGGATGAAATTAGAGGCTGCTGTTGGTCAGGGTAAGGGATACTGATGCTGTCGAAGATAGAGAACAGTGAATGAATTTGAGGTTATTTCAGAGGTAGACTCGGCAGGACTTTGTGATTAATTTGTGTCTGTGCTGAGTGTAGTTGGCGAAAGTGAACATTTCAGAGTCAGGCACCTTGGACTTCAAGGTAGAATTTACTAGAAAAAGACCAGGTGTGTATGGAGTGGGGAGGATTAAGAGTTAAATTTTGGGCTGGGCGCGGTGGTTCACGCCTGTAATCCCAGCACTTTGGGCGGCCGAGGCAGGTGGATCACGAGGTCAAGAGATCGAGACCATCCTGGTCAACATGGTGAAACCCCGTCTCTACTGAAAATACAAAAAATCAGCTGGGCATGGTGGCACACGCCTGTAATCCCAGCTACTCAGGAGACTGAGGCAGGAGAATTGCCTGAACCCAGGAGGCGGAGGTTGCGGTGAGCCGAGATCGCGCCATAGCACTCCAGCCTGGGTAACAAGAGTGAAACTCCATCTCAAAAAATAAAAGTTAAATTTTGGTCGTGTTCTATTTGGGGTGTCTGCTGGACATCCAAGTGGCTGTGTCAAGTAGTCATCTGTCTATTTGTGTCTGAAGTGCTCAGGAGAGGCCTGAGTTCGGAGCTCACATTTGAGACTCATTGCTTAAATCAATGATTTTTACGTAATGGGAAAGGGTGAAAACCCCCATGTAGGATGAGAGTTGGCCTTGAGCCTTTAGTGTTTCCTCAGTTTCTTCAGTGGGCTAGGAGAGGGGCAAAAGCTGGTGATGGGAGTCAGAAGTCGGACAAAGAGAGCTGGGAAACGTCTGTGGGGGGTGGTGCTGTGGGTTTTTTAATGATCTTACAGAACAGTGTCAAGTGGCAGGCAGTGGGGGAGGTGCTGCAGGACTTGGGGGAGAGTCCAGGCAGGTAGTGGAGCAGGTAAGGGTAAGCAGTGCAGGAGGAGTGTAGAGGTGAGGGTGTCTACTCCAGGGGGTGGCTCTCAGTACTGCCTTGTGCTTTCCTTGTTGGGTAGCCTACGTTTAGTAGGAAAACTAGTCATTTGATGAAGTGCTGCTTGAATACCAGGTGCTGTTAGTGGATGCTGCACATGCATGACAGAGCAGGCTTTCAGGGAGTTTTTGTTGAAGTAAATCACAGCATTCACCAGCTGACGATGCGACCCTGACCCACACCCACATTCTCACCTCTGTCCTCGCTGCCTTGGGGTGTCTTTCTTCTGTTACCGCCACCACATGCACAAACCCAGGCACACAAGTGCGGACAGAAGATGAGCTGTTTGGACTTGCGAGGGCCTGTATGCTTGGCGTGTGGCACATTGAATGGCCTCTTGCTCTATGTGCTCAGAGGGGATGATCCAGATGTCTGGCATTGGAAGATTGGTACTGAGATTTCTGCTCTGGTTCTGTTAGAGTGGATTAACAGCTTCCCCCTCTGTTGTTTCTGTTAGGTACTGCCGCTGGCGTCACTGCCAAAATGCCACCTCGGATCCTTGGCAGCAAACCAGAGCTCGAGTGAAAATAACCTTGCTTAGTCACTCAGCTTAGAGAGTGAGGGAGTGGGGGAGACTTGAAGAAATGCTGGCTTTCCTGCTGCTTGTTGGCTGCCCTGCTTTGTGTGCTGTGGCTGATGGGCAGGTTTTTAGTTCCTGAAAGATAGAAGATTGCAGTGTTCCTTACTTATGGGAATCGACTCCTGTCTTTTCTCTGTAGACTGGTAGGACTGGTGTGGCTTGAATCCTTTATGCTGCTGTGTCATTCTAACTACCAGGGAGGAAACCTTTCATAATTGGGTGTTCCTTACCGTGTAACCTATTACACGAAAGAGTCTCTAGTGTTTTATACTGAGTATTTCCAAATGGAGTGGAAAGAACTGTACAGTGGTATACCCTTAGACACATTCTCCAATTAATAGTTTATCTTTGCTCAGTTACGTATCCAGTAATGCTGATAACGTAACGTTGGAGTAATTGAAAGAAAACAAGAACCATACAGTTTATTTCTAAGTTGTGTGTTTTTTTCTTTTTCTTTTTTTTTTAAATGGAGTCTCCCTTTGTAGCCCAGGCTGGCTGGAGTGCAATGGCATGATCTCGGCTCATTGCAACCTCTGCCTCCTGGGTTCAAACGATTCTCCTGCCTCAGCCCCCTTAGTAGCTGGGATTACAGGCCTGTGCCACCACGACTGGCTAATTTTCATTAGTAGAAAGGGGATTTCACCATGTTGGTTGGGCTGGTCTCGAACTTCTGACCTTGTGATGTGCCAACCTAAGCCTCCCAAAGTGCTGGGATTAACAGGTGTGAGCCATCGCACTTGACCTGTTTTATTTTTGAGACAGTCTCGCTCTGTCGCCCAGGCAGTTGGTGTGATGTCCGTTTACTGCAGCTTCCACCTCCTGGGTTAGAAGGGTCTGTGATGAATCTGGGAAACAGTTCCCAGACAAGGTCTTCCAGCATGCTAGTGTGGTTAGCTAGTGGAAGTTCCCTCTGTAAGGCCAGTAGGTGCTGAAGTGATACCACTCCCTCCTCCCTCCCCACAGCCATCCCACTGCCATGACCTGCCCATCCGCAGCAGCCTTGTCACTGACCGACCACCTGTTTTTACTTGCAGGACCTATTCCAACAACCTCTTGAAACATGGTGGATTACTATGAAGTTCTAGGCGTACAGAGACATGCCTCACCCGAGGATATTAAAAAGGCGTAAGTAATATTATTTCTGAGGTAATACATCTGCACAGTGGTACATTGGTAATTGAGTAGTGTAACTTTTTCTATTGCCTATGAAGATGGCTTTTAATGTAGTGTGTAGCAGTCTTTGCCACATAGTTTAATCGGACAGCAATTAACAAGGAACGTTTGCAGTCTAGGTCTGGGCGTTGCCCTTAATTAGTCATTCACTGGGATTCTATCGAAGTCGATTAAAAAGTTACTGAGGATATGACATGATCACAAACATCTTTTATATTGGAGTTTGACATGGAGCTGACTTGGTACTCTTGAGTACCCCTTTCCAGGTAGGGGCCCAGAGTAGAGCACTTGAACTTTTTTGGTGTGATTGTTGGGCTCCAGCCTATGCTGTTGGAGTCCCTTCTGATTCACATGAAAGTTTGAGAGCTGCACCACTGCCTGTTAGACCAGTATCTATCTGTATGACCAGGGCCTGGCTCACGTGAGGAGGGCAGTTCCAGCCACAGAAGGCTCTCATGGTAACCTCAGTCTGTTTAATTTAATGAGGTGTCAACTCTGAATGTAAAGTGTAAAGCAAAGAAGTCATGAAATAGATGTTAGATTTTAACATAGCTAGAGAGCAGTTAGCTGGAATAGTTGGAACCAGCTTTAAAAAAATAGATAATAAATAATGAAGTCCATACTACTAGATTTAGTGGGTCTGAAGATAGAATTAACTTTTTTGGGGGCCAAATAGTTCATTTTGCTTAGTTTTTAATTTTAATTAAAAAAAAAAAAAAAAAAAGACTGAGTCTCACTTGTTGCCCAGGCTGGTCTCAAACTCCTGGGCTCAAGTGATCCTCTCGCCTTGGCCTCCCAGATTGCTGCAATTATAGACATGAGCTACTGTGCCTTAGCTGAGATAGTTCATTTTAAAATGCTAAATTGCTGAGTGCAATGGCTCACGCCTGTAATCCCAACACTTTGGGAGGCTGAAGTGGGAGGATCATGAGATCAGGAGATCGAGACCATCCTGGCTAATATGGTGAAACCCCATTTCTACTAAAAATACAAAAAATTAGCCGGGCATGGTGGCACGCACCTGCAGTCCTAGCTACTTGGGAGGCTGAGGCAGGAGAATCACTTGAACCCAGGAGGCAGAGGTTGCAGTGAGCCAAGATGATGCCACTGTACTCCAGCCTGGGCGACAGAGCGAGAGTCCATCTCAATAAAATAAAATGCAAATTATGGCCAGGTAAATGGCTCACACCTCTAATCCCAGCACTTTGGGACACGTAGGTGGGAGGGTCACTCAAGCCCAGGGGTTTGAGACCAGCCTGGGCAACAAAATAAGATACTGTCTTTACAAAAAAAAATAAAATAGTTGGGCATGGTGGTATATGCCTGTAGTCCCAGCTACTCCAGAGGCCGAGGCAGGAGAATTGCTTGAGCCCAGGAGGTTGAGGCTACAGTGAGCCATGTTCATGCCATTGCACTCTGGCTTGGGTGACCGAGCCAAGACTCTTTCTCAAAGCCAAGTCAGGCTGACTGCTCTTTGGCAGAGCTGATGTTGCTTGCAGAGTCTTTGAAACCTCTGCCAAGGAACCTAGTAGAAGCAGCCCACTGAGGAGAGGCCAGGCAGACCCTGCTGCTGTCAGCAGTGGAGTGAGGTTTTCCACACTGTGAGGAGGCCTGTGCTGCACACCATAGGCCCACACTGTTCTTATCAATAGTGTCAACAGCCAGTGATACTTGACAGATCATAGAATGAAGACAGCTGGAAATACTTGGCTCCTCTTGAATAAGCTAATGCATGTATTAGTCCGTTTTTATGCTGTAGATAAAGACATACCTGAGACTGGGAAGAAAAGGATGTTTAATTTGATTTACGGTTCTACATGCTGGGAAGGTCTTATAATCATGGCGGTGGGTGAAAGGCACTTTCTACATGGTGGCAGCAAGAGAGAATGAGGAAGAAGCAAAAGTGGAAACCCCTGATAAACCCATTAGATCTTGGGAGACTTAATCCACAAGAATAGCACGGGAAAGACCAGCCCCCATGATTCAGTTACCTTCCCACTAAACCTCATCAGTGGATAAAGATAATACTTGCACAGTACTTTCAGTAACTGATGGAAATTATGTACCTTTATAATGGTTTGCAGTGGCACAATCTTGGCTCACTGCAACCTTGGCCTCCCGGATTCAAGCAGTTCTCCTGCCTTAGCCTCCTGAGAGTTGGGGTTACAGGCACGTGCTTCCACATCCAGCTTTTTGTATTTTTAGTAGAGATGGGGTTTCGCCATGTTGGCCAGGCTGGTCTCAACTTCTGACCTCAGGTGATCTGCCTGCCTCGGCCTCCCAAAGTGCTGAGAGTACAGGTGTGAGCCACTGGACCTGGCCTTTTTTTTTTTTGTATTTAAATGACATGCAGTTATTTAGCCATTGGAACTCTGCAGCTGACTATGACTTTAGTCATAGAATCTTTGTAGAAGTTTGTGTTTTAACTCTGTTTAGATCTTGAATCTGGCACAGAGGGCTGTTTGAAAGATCCTGCAGTCCTGGCCTGTTTGGTGGCAGGTGACTCACCTTGGGCACACAGATCAGCTGAGTAGTGGGCTGGCTGAGAAAGTAGGGTCCTTGGAATCTGAACGTAGAAGGGTAGGGATGGTGATGTTGGATCCTACTGCTCAGTGACCCAGGCCTTTCTGTCACATGCTCGCTCAGTCTCCTCACTGTCAGGCCATCTTGTGGATACCGTGATCTTCGTTTTTCTCTCTCTAGAGGTTTGTATTATGCTATCAGGATTTTGTTTTTTACACTTATTTAATGAGTATTTTCACAATTTTAATTTTGAGACAGGGTCTTGTTCTGTTGCCCAGGCTGGACTGCAGTGGTGTGATCATAGCTTATTGTAGCCTAGAACTCCTGACCTCAAGCAGTCGTCACACCTGAGTTTCTGGAGTAGCTGGGTCTATCTGTGGCTGTACGCCATCACGCCTGGCTATCTGGATTTTAGAACTTCTGTGTATTTCATTCTAGAGGAAAGGGAGGTTTTACAACTAAAACCGGTATTCGTCTTACCAGTTGGCAGCTCTGAAGCCATTCTCCTGGTTCATTATGTTAGTTTCAAAAACATAGTTGATTTCTGGATTTAGAATGTGATAAGTATCCTTTATTCTTTTCAAGATATCGGAAACTGGCACTGAAGTGGCACCCAGATAAAAATCCTGAGAATAAAGAAGAAGCAGAGAGAAAATTCAAACAAGTGGCAGAGGCGTATGAGGTGCTGTCAGATGGTGAGTGACACTGGGCTGCTCAAGGACTCTGAGTGGTCACGCCAGGATGAGGAGCAGGTGTGGGATCCTCCTCAGGGCTGGCACAGTATGGATCAAGTGACTTGTTAATGGCAGATGGGTTTTGGGCCCCCCGAATGTCTTTGCTTTTCTTGTGAAGATTTGACTTGATTTAGGTCACCACAAGGGCTGAGGAGCGAGCCCCAGGGCTTCTAGCAGTTTCTCTTAGGATGGCTGTTTGCTTTTTTTTTATTCTTCTTTTGCTCACCTTTAACTGTCTTGATCGAGTTATAAGGATGGCTGTTTTCAAACAGGACTAGCTACCCCGGGTCTGATGAACCCAGGAGAGAGGAGGTTGCAAGACTCAGGCCACTGTGCATGTGGTGTGCTTGCCCTATTGTTGGTGTGTGATCCTTCTGCCCTTGCTCACCCCACGGGCTTAAACAATACTGTGCCAGTGGAGTTAGCTTCACTACTTCAGAGGACGTCTTAGGTTCACAAAAAGAGGGGATGGAACATACAGTTAAAATTTAGATTTCAGATTTCAGGCCTGTCTTCCCCACCTAGGTCTGGAGCAGAGGTGTTGTATGTTACTGGAAGTCCGATCCATTGACCTGGTTCACATGTGGGTGAGGGGTCAGAGGTCACTTGTCACCTAGTCGGGGTTGCATGGGGCCTGGGGTGGGGGGAGCAGTGACAGAACTGGAAAGCCACAGGATGCCCGGTCAGCTGGAGAGGGATTTTATAAAGTTAGGAATGCATTAACTGGACCCTGGAACTGTGGGTACTTGGTTAAGTGTATCTGAGTATGGTCAAGTGATCGGCCCTTATTTACAACAAATTTTTTCTTTTTTTAAAAGAAGGAACCCAATTTAAGTTTGCCACCTTCAACATTTACCAGCCTGGCTTTCTCTGGTGACACTATTGCCCGCCTCTTTGTTTTAGAGGAAATCCCAGATATTTTACTTCAAAAATGTGAAAAGGCATAAAACAGTGATATTTGGAATCTTCATGAAATGTGGCATTTAAGATCATGAGCTGTTGAGCTTAAACTGTTGATTGGAAAGTTTTATTTATTTTATTTTTAAAGAGAGAGGCTCTTGCCATGTTGCCCAGGGAGGCCTTGAATTCCTGGGCTGAGGTGATCCTCCTCCACAAAGCACTGTTGCGCCAGGCTTGTCGCCTTGGGTTGTGTGCTGGATTGACAGAGGAGAGCACAGGCCTCAGGGTTGCCATCTTGGTCTTTGGTCCTTGGTGTTGGTGTGTGCTAATTCACTACTGCCAGATGCAGGATTTCAGGGACCAGTAACATTAAGAAAAGTGAGGACTAAACTAAAGCTTCATATTTGATAGAGCACCTTTAAACTACCATACTAAAAAAAGTCTCTTGGTGTTTTTTTTTTTTGGAGGGGAGGGGGCATGGGGTGTATTTTTCATGTCCTTTTAGGCAGCCATGGGTCCCAGCTGGAGTTACATAGTCATTTTTCTTGCCGTGGCACTGGCTACCTGAACCTGCTTGTAAGTGGTTTGTTTCTAAGTGTGTATTCCCATTTTGTGGAAGATGAGATTTTCTTTTACTTTTTAAAAATTGAGAAGGGGTCTCACTCGGTCATCCAGGCTGGAATGCAATGGCATGATCACAGGTAACTGCAGTATTGCTCTCCCAGGCTCAAGCAGTTGTCCCATTGCTTCCTGAGTAGCTGGGACCCACAGGTAGGTGTCACTGTGGCCGGCTAACTTTTTTGTATTTTGATTAGAGATGGGATTTTGCTACCCAGGCTGGTCTTGAACTCCTCGGCTTAAGCAATCCACCTACCTTGGCCACTCAGTGTGTTGGGATTACAGGTGTTAGCCGCTGTGTCCAGCCTGTGAGATTTTTAAGGAACTCAGATGGTGTCATGTCAGAGTTCCAGTGCTTCTAATGTCATTCTTTTTGTTGGGGAGTTTCAGTAGACTTTGGAATGTAAGTGTGAAGACTGTCGGTGGAGAGTGGCGTGCTAGCCCTAGGCCGTGCATCTGGGTGGTCCTTTGGAGGGTGAATGAGCCTGTAGGGCGTTGGATGGCTCCTTTCTGGCACATCTACTTTCTGCCACTTGCCTAGGCCCTGGCACGTTTCTTTGTGTACTGCAGATGTGGTCCTCTAATTGGGGTTTTGTAGTAAGACAGTGAGCTTGTATGGTTTATTCCAACCATATTGTACTTGGTTGTGTGATTTTTTCTTTTTCCTTTTTTCTTTTTTTTTTTTTTAAAGATGGGGTTTCACCATGATGGCCAGGCTGGTCTTGAACTCCTGACCTCAGGTGATCCACCCACCTCAGCCTCCCAAAGTGCTAGGATTACAGGCGTGAGCCCAGCAGTTGTGTGATTTTAATGTAGCATGCCTGGGCTCTGTGGGCAATAGAGTGAAAAGTTATCTAATGGAATAAATTTGTTTTTCTTTTTCGGAGACAGAATCTTGCTCTGTCACCCAGGCTGGAGTACAGTGGGGTGATCTTGGCTCATTGCAACTTCTGTCTCCTGGGTTCAAGCAATTTTCCTGCCTCAGCCTTCTGAATAGCTGGGATTATGGACACACGCCACCATGCCTGGCTGATTTTTGTATTTTTAGAAGAGACGGGGTTTCACCATGTTGTCCAGGCTGGTCTCAAACTACTGATCTCTCTAAGGTGATCTGCCTGTCTTGGTCTCCCAGATTGCTGCGATTACAGGCGTGAGCCACTGCTCCTGGCCGTAAATATTTAAATAACTTGTTTAAAAAAATTCAACAAACTTAATTTTTTTTTGAATTGTTTTTCAGGAGGGAGGTACAGAAAGTTTTCCCTCTTGTTTCCTTTTGTTTTAAAGAAAGGGGGGCCATACTCCTTAAATTTAATTGTAAAACCTTGAAAACTGATTTACAACTTGGGAAATACTTTATTGAATCAGAGGTTTAAAAGGAACTTGGACTTATTGACTTTCCTTTAAATTTTTAGCTAAGAAACGGGACATCTATGATAAATACGGCAAAGAAGGATTAAATGGTGGAGGAGGAGGTATGTATGTACATGACTTTTTCTTTGAAGACAAAAGGTCTTGGCAAGTTGAGTTTGTCTGTAAATCATGTCTTTTGGTAAGAGTCTTATCAGTAAATAGAGATGCAACCTAGAAAGTGGGCTGAACTGGGGAGAGGACAGAGAAATTGATAGCATTTTAAAATCTTAGTGAGACTAGAAGTATATGTTGATGTACTTCCTGTAGATAGGAAATAATTTGTTACCATACTGCAGTATATCGTGGACAGACACCCTTAGATCAGTACTTGACATGATGTCAAAATACCCTGAGGGTTTAAAGAGCAGATTTTCCTGGAAAGCTAAAATAATGACCTTGTGGGGCCTGGACTTTCGTGTTTGTCTCTAAAAGTTTGCATGGTCTCTGGGCTGTGACCAGCCTCCCCAGGGGTCTTTGGGAAATTTTTGCTCCAAACCTGGCCACATGGCAGCTTCTGCGGCTCCAGGAGGTCAGTTGTCAAAGTGGATGCAGATACTCGTGGTCTTCATAAACCTTCATAACAAATCATAGAAGTGGTGTGTAACATTATATGCCCATCATGGATTTAGAGATGGCTAAGAGCAGTGTCGAAGTGGCCACCGCTGCACTCACTTATCGTCAGCTCTGGGCACACTCACTTTGTCAGTATAGGGCTCATGTTTTGAACTTTAGAGAACCCCAAGTTTATGAAATATTTTTGTTTTCTATTAGGTGTCAACAAAGAATTTTTTGCCTGCAAAATGCCAAAATTCATGAACTAAAAGCTGTATTGTATTTGTGCAGGTGGTGGAATTCATTTTGACAGTCCATTTGAATTTGGCTTCACATTCCGAAACCCAGATGATGTCTTCAGGGAATTTTTTGGTGGAAGGGACCCATTTTCATTTGACTTCTTCGGTAAGTTAATTGCGTGGGTTGACTTGATGTGTGTCCATGAGCCAAGTGAGGGTTTAGTAACGGCCTTTCTGTTGAATTTACATGGTATTATTTAAAACAGCATTGGACTAGCCTGGGCAACATGGTGAAACCTTGTCTATACAAAAAGAACACAAAACATTAGCTGAGCGTGGTGGCGTGTGCCGGTGGTCCCAGCTCCTTGGGAGGCTGAGGTGGGAGGATCTCATGAGCTTGGGAGGTCGAGATTGGGCCACTGTACTTCAGCCTGGGTGACAGAGCAAGACCTTTTCTGAAGAAAAAGCAGCACAGGAGCTTTAAAATCTTTTTCTTCTTCCTCTTTGAAAATTTGTTTTGAATTTATAACTTGAAAAATTAGAATAATACAGGGCTTAATATACTTTTTTTTTTTTTGAGACGGAGTTTCGCTCTTGTTACCCAGGCTGGAGTGCAATGGCGCGATCTCGGCTCACCGCAACCTCCGCCTCCTGGGTTCAGGCAATTCTTCTGCCTCAGCCTCCTGAGTAGCTGGGATTACAGGCACGCGCCACCATGCCCAGCTAATTTTTTGTAGTTTTAGTAGAGATGGGGTTTCACCGTGTTGACCAGGATGGTCTCGATCTCTTGACCTCGTGATCCACCTGCCTCGGCCTCCCAAAGTACTGGGATTACAGGCGTGAGCCACCGCGCCTGGCTTTATTTGTTATATATGGCCCTGCTTGCTTTTGTCCTCAGGTGAGACACAGTGGTAGGGCATTGGTGCTAGCGTCTTGAAAATGTTGTTTCCCATTGAATGCCTATTTGTGTGTGAATTTGCCACCTCATATTCCTATTAAAATCATTAAGCATCATAGTCCTGTCTGCAAGACCTTTCATCTGTAAACATTGTGGTGTGTGAGGAGCGTTGAGTTCACAGTTTGCGGAAAGAAAGGCACCTCTGGAGCAACACTGCGGAAGCCTTCGCTGAGGAGAGCAGTTTTGTTAAGGGAGACGGTGCTGCTCAGCTGCTGTTTGATTGTAGGGAGATGGATTTCTTATCAGTGGCATCTCAGTCCTGATGCCTGGTCCTGTGCTTTGGTGGCGTGTCTTGGGCACAGTTTGGGTCAGGCACTTCGTTAGCTGTCTGCTGTTAGAGCCTTCTCAACCACTGGGATGGGGCTTTCTGTGTGGTGCACTTCTGCAGCCATTTTTGTCTTTTGACTCATTGAGAGGGAAACAAATTGTGTGTTTATCTCCTTTATTGCCTGGAGCATGGGTGAAGAAACTGAACAACACCTGCAACCCCCCAGGAGGGAAAGAGAAAAGCCTCTATGTTTACAGAAAATATACAGGAGACAAATGGGGCCCCGCCTGCCATGGGCATGCAGAGGAATAATCACTCCCATATCTGGTAGGTCTTTGGCCTTTTACATGGTGCAGTTCTTCGGTTTATCTCAAATGGGGATTCAAAGAGGTTGCCCTTACAGCTTATTACGTATGGGCTGGCGGCTTGAAGTGAACCCCTTTCTGAGGGAGGAAAGACAGTCAGTGCCCCCAAGGATTTTCAGGGAAAATGGAGCAACTGAAGCTAAGCAGGGGATTTCACATTAGGGGGCCGGGAGACTGGGCTGCTCATCGCTGAAGCACATTTGCTGTAATCATCGCTGCCATCAGCAGAGACAGCAGGAGAAAGAGCCATGTTTACTTCGTTCATCTACCCTCACAGGCGAGAAATCTCTAAGAAAAGTAACTTACAGATCGATCTCTGTCTTAAAAATGACCTTTGCATCTTGTTACAGTCTTCAGCAAACTGCGTTTGTTGATCTGCAGGACAGGGCGCTGTTGAAGTCCTGTGTTCTGACCATGAGTCTCATGGTGACCAAGCAGGGAAAAAGGCCTGCTCTTCCGACTCCATGGTTTACATTCTAGGGCACAGGCGGTGAGACAGGCTGTCCTCTCAACGGCTGAGACCAGGCGCCTTCAACAGGCCTTTTCTTAACGTTACTTTTTTTTTTTTTTTTTTGAGACGGAGTTTCGCTCTTGTTACCCAGGCTGGAGTGCAATGGCGCGATCTCGGCTCACCGCAACCTCCGCCTCCTGGGTTCAGGCAATTCTCCTGCCTCAGCTTCCTGAGTAGCTGGGATTACAGGCACGCACCACCATGCCCAGCTAATTTTTTTTTGTATTTTTAGTAGAGACGGGGTTTCACCGTGTTGACCAGGATGGTCTCGATTTCTTGACCTCGTGATCCACCTGCCTCAGCCTCCCAAAGTGCTGGGATTACAGGCTTGAGCCACCGCGCCCGGCCGGAAAATTTCATAAGCGGTAGGCCAATTTGAATTAGGGTAATTTATTTATTTATTTATTTATTTTGATGAACATATTCCTCCCCATTTAGGGTAATTTATTACAGGACCCTGTTGCTCGGTTAAATGATGTCCTAAGATAGCAGAGAAAAGGGACCTGATAATAGTGTGTTTTGATCCCATTAGTCAGAGCAGGCGTTACCATCTGGGAAAAGCCTGTGGGTTGAACGTCATATCTTTTTTTTATATTCTTACCTTGGAAAGCCAAAGCCAACCTTTAAGGTTTCCAGAGAGGCCTTTGATTTGAGCAGTGCAGCACGTTTTCCTTTGTAAAGGATCACTCTGCTACAGTTGATGCTCTGTGGCAATAGTGGAGGAATTCTGCAGGACATGGAACCAAGGGAAGCAGACGTTTTGGAGGAAGGGCGAGTTCATTGAGGATAGTAACTTGGTCTTCCAAATTGTGATTAAATGATGGTAGTGAGTCAGTCAGTTTACACTCTCCCAAGGTTCCAGGAAGTGGCCATTGAGGTCGTGGAGCCTAGTGAAAGAGTTAGTAGAGCTGCCCGAGATGGAGGAGGCTGCAGAAGACAGCCCCAATGAGGAGAGCAGTGAGGCCTTGGTTGTGATACCTAGCGAGGACCTGGCAGTCCCTAGTGAGGATGAGTCCAGCACAGGATATAGCCGGGGCCTGGGTGAGCCCCCCAGAGAGGAGTGTGAGGAGCTGCTGAACGAGGAGGAGCACAGCGGGCCAGAGCCAGGGGCGCTGCCAGCCCCACGATAAAGTGTCAAGGAGCTCCCCGGGCTGGACTGACTTAGTGTATATCTAAAATAAAATGGTTTTCTAGTGCTTCGTTACTGTCCTTGGCCAGATGACCTTTAGCTGCCTTGGAGATAGAACTGAAGAAGCAAGAGAGGGGTGTGGCAGCCCTGAAGCACAGGCCTGCGGTCTCGTAGGCTCTTTCCCTAAAAGCCAGAGCACAGACCTTGAAGGCAGCCTTGGGTCTTTGAGTTTGATCCGTGTGACAAACTGGGGACTTAAACAACCAAAATGTGTTATCTCCTAGTCCTGGAGGCTGGCCACGTGAGACCCAGGTGTCACAGCATGGGTTGCTTCTGTGGCTGAGGGGTGTCCCGCTCCAGGCCCCTCCCCAGCTGTTCTCTCCCCGCATTTGCAGGTGGGTGGCCCATCCAGTCTTCACATCATCTCCTTTGTGGCTGTGTCTCTGTGTCCATTGATTCAGTGTTTCAGAGACCGGGTCTCACTGGGTTGCCAGGCTGGCCTTGAACCCCTGGGCTGAAGCAATCTTCCTTTCTTAGCCTCCCAAGGAACCAACTGCAGGCATGACCTACCATGCCCAGCCACAAGTTAATTCCCCCTTTTTTTCATAAGGACATCATTTATATTGGATTAGTACCCACTTCAGTGATCTTAACTTTATAATCTACCAAGTCTCTATTTCCAAGTAAGGTCACAGTCACAGGTGCTAGGGATTAGGACTCGAATGTGTTTTTTGGGGGTCCATGATTCAACCTTTTATTTTTTTGGGGGGGACCATGACTCAACCTTCAAACATATTTCTTTTTTTTAAACAATTTATTATACTTTTAAGTTCTGGGGTACATGTGCAGATCGTGCAGGTTTGTTACATAGGTATACATGTTCCATGGTGGTTGGCTGCATCCATTACCCCATCATCTACATTAGGTATTTTTCCTAATGGTGTCTCTCCCCTGTCCTCCCATCACCCGCTGCTATTCCTCCCCTAGCTGCCTACGCCCCGGCCCCGGTATGTGATAAACATCGTATTTCTAACAGTTAGGTAGATTTTTGTGTTAGTCTGTGCAATTTACAACCAAACAGCAAATTTTGAAAGGTGAAAGGAGGAGGAAACTTTAAAGTTAGACTTTTTTTTTTTTTTTTCCCCCCTGAGGTAGTGTTTCATGTCACCCAGGCTGGAGTATCAAGGGGTGATCTCAGCTCACTACAGCCTGTGCCTTCCAGGTTCAAGCAATTCTCTTGCTTCAGCCTCCGAAGTAGCTGGAATTGCAGGTGCACACCACCATGCCCAGCTAATTTTTGTATTTTTGGCAGAGATGGGGTTTCCCCATGTTGGCCAGGCTGGTCTCGCTCCTGACCTCAGGTGATCCCTTCACTCCAGCCTCCCAAAGTGCTGGGATTACAGGCTTGAGCCACTGTGCCTGGCCGAAGTTAGGCACGTGTCAAGTGCAGATATGGGAGTGGCACAGTAGATGGGATCGATGTGTACTTGTGACATGCACCCACTGTCATATGGTGCTACAGAGGTTTGTCGTGAGTGTTCTTTGATTACTTAAGCACAGAGTTCATATGCATGCACACCTATACATAGGTCACTTAGAAGAAGTTAAGGAGTCTTTTAAAATACACATAAAAACATCACATATTGGCCGGGCGCGGTGGCTCATGCCTGTAATCCCAGCACTTTGGGAGGCCGAGGCGGGTGGATCACGAGGTCAAGAGATCGAGACCATCCTGGTCAACGTGGTGAAACCCCGTCTCTACTAAAAATACAAAAAATTAGCTGGGTATGGTGGTGCATGCCTGTAATCCCAGCTACTCAGGAGGCTGAGGCAGGAGAATTGCCTGAACCCAGGAGGCGGAGGTTGCGGTGAGCTGAGATCGCGCCATTGCACTCCAGCCTGGGTAACATGAGTGAAACTCCGTCTCAAAAAAAAAAAACCAAAAAAACACATCACACATTAAGCTGGGTATGGTGGTGTGCCTCTGTAATGCCAGCTACTGGGGAGGTTGAGGTAGGGGATTCCTTGAGCCCAGGAGTTTGAGTCCAGCCTAGGAAAAACAGTGAGACTCCATTTCTGAGACTGGTTTCTGGCTGAAATTGTTGGAACCATCCTTGTGTGTAACAAAGAGCTACGTCGTGGCTGTAAAGCAGCGGGCAGTCCTGCCCACACGCTCTTCCTGTCATCTGCTGAGAGTTTCTTGGAGAACACGCCAAACTTATGTATGGTTGTGTGCATATTTGAGAACTCTTCATGTTGAGATGGAGCTGTTTTTTGGAAGTATTTCATTTTTTTGAGATGGAGTCTCTGTCGCCTGGGCTGCAGTACAGTGGCATCATCTCAGCACACTGCAATCTCTGCCTTCTCAGTTCAAGTGATTCTCCTGCCTCAGCCTCCCAAGTGGCTGGGATTACAGGCATGCACCACCACACCTGGCTAATTTTTGTATTTTTAGTAGAGATGGGATTTCACCATGTTGGTGGCCAGGCTGGTCTCAAACTCTCAACCTCAGGCGATCCACCCATTTTGGCCTTCCAGAGTGCTGGGATTACAGGTGTGAACCACCGTGCCAGACCCTTCACTTTTACTTAAAATCCTGGCAGTTGAGGATGGGTGCCGTGTTAGTGATTTGCAGCTTCTTTTGAGCTGTTTTTCAGTACATACTTGGTAATTTCAGGACCTTTGTTTTCTCTGACCTCCTCCCTTAAATAGGTAGAGGAAGTGGTTCCTTGAAATGGTCATTTTGAGAATTTCTCTGCTGTGAGAACTGAGGCTCTGGCTACTACTTTAGGAAGCTCGAACCATGCCATAAGATTTCGTGTGCAGTGTTCAGATCATCCGTCAACTGTGCTGTGATTTCTGTGGTGTTTCCTCCCCTGTATTTTGTGGTATTGGCCCCTGGCCCCCTTGCAGTACTTTGTATAGTGTTTGGTTCACATTGTTGGCATGACAGTCACCTGAGCAGGAGATGGCCCGAGCCCTTTGTAGGTTTGTGGGTATTTGCATTATCTGTTTCCTGTGGGATTATGGTCCCTGGTGGATTTGTGGACAGCTCCAGAGGTTGAGGTAATTGCTGCGTCCTTAGTGCTCTCAGGAGGAGATGTTCTGGGACTGTAGGTTGAAGATGTAGGGAGAGTAGTTTAAGCTTGAGGCTGCAGCCAGAGCTGATACAGTGTTGAGCTTTTTTTTAAATTATTTTTTAAATAGAGACCGGGTTTCACCATGTTGGCCAGGATGATCTCGATCTCTTCGTCTCGTGATCCACCCGTCTCGGCCTCCCAAAGTGCTGGGATTACAGGCGTGAGCCACTGCGACCGGTCCACAGTGTTGAGCTTTGACGGGTCTGGGAAATACCGGCATCCATAGGAAGTATGATAGTGTAGGGGATAGTGAGGTGGACAGTGTGGTGGTGGAGGAAATCGGCCATTTGAGAGTAGGGGTTGGAGAAGAGCCCGGAGCCTGCTGCTCTTCTGGTGGTTTCTTCTCTGAGGAATGAGGACTGTGGTTGGGAAGACACCCATTGGTCCTGACGCCAGGGTTCCTCATCTCATGACAGGCCTCTAGTGTTTGAAATAGAATAATTTAAATCAGTGTATTTTGGATTCTTTGACTTGGATAGACTTTTGTAACTTTTGGGAAACAGAATGCTCTAACCAGTCCTAGGATGTAACTAGAAAACATACTTGTGATAAAAAACAATTGTCTGGGAATCTGAAAATGGTGGTGTACATTTAACAAATACGATATGCCCGCTGTTCAGTGCAGGCACTATTCTAGGTGTGGGTTTGGCAGTGGAGAGAAACCCTGAAGCCCTGTTCCCCAGAGCATGCAGTTCAGGGTGAAGCTCCAGCCGTGTCATTTGCTCCCATCGCTGTATTCCAGATTCCTAACAGTTATGTTATTTGCTACTTCTGAAAATGTCAGTGACATCATTCAAAACACATGAGTTGTAACAAAGAGTGCCTGGTTTTGAGGAGTTGGGAGAGCAGAGAAAGTGTGTCTTTCATGGTTGGCCTTTGACTCTTAAGTGCTGTTTCTTTTTGAAGGCTGCTGTCAAGGTTAGCTTTGGAACTCCAGGAGAGAGTGACGTATTTTCCTTGATTTAAAATAGCCATGATGCTTTTCAATTTTGTTTTGCTGTCATTTTTTTGTTCTAACTTTTCTGTGCACTTGGGGAATTGATAATGTGAGGGCTGAAGTCATTGCAGCAGGCCTCTCCTGGGCTGTGTTTGTGGTTTCTGAAATGTCTACCTTGGGCACATGGTGGGAGTGTGCTGAGGAGGGGGCGAGCTGAGTTCTGTCCTGCACTGCTGCTGCTGTGAGCTGCTGTGAGATTAAAGTGGCTGCTGGGAGTCTGCTTCTCTTCCTTGTTAGGCTGTTAATGTTCTGTCAGGTTCTCACACTCTTTAAAGCTCAAAGAAAACGTGTGGGTTTAAAACATCTTCTGCACTTAACGTTCTTTAAGTCTGTATGTGTGTAAATGTTTGTTAAAGTGTTTTGTGGTCAGTTTTCTCAGCACTGTTCAGTTCATTGCATATATTCTTTTTGGTCATAAATTTGTGACTGTTCTTGGATTGTCAGTTAGTTTAGTATCTTGTTAATGTCTTGCCCTCCCTTTTTTAAATTGCATTTTAGGTTTTGGGGTACATGTGAAGGACATGCAAGATTGTTGCATAGGTACACACATGGCAGTGTCATGTGCTGCTTTCCTCCTCATCACCTGTATTTGGCATTTCTCCCTATGCTATCTCTCCCCAACTCCCCATCCCCTGCTGTCCCTCCCGTTTCCCCCCTACAGACCCCAGTGTGATGCTCCCCTCCCTGTGTCCATGTGTTCTCATTGTTCAACACCCACCTATGAGTGAGAACATGCGATGTTTCTGTTCTTGTGTCAGTTTGCTGAGAATGATGGTTTCCAGGATCATCCATGTTCCCTACAAAGGACACGAACTCATCGTTTTTGATGGCCGCATAGTATTCCATGGTGTATATGTGCCACATTTTCCCTGTCCAGTCTATCATCGATGGGCATTTGGGCTGGTTCCAGGTCTTTGCTATTGTAAACAGTGCTGCAGTGAATATTCGTGTACATGTGTCCTTATAGTAGAACGATTTATAATCCTTTGGATATATACCCAGTAATGGGATTGCTGGGTCAAATGGAATTTCTATGTCTAGGTCGTTGAGGAATTGCCACACTGTCTTCCACAATGGTTGAACTAGTTTACACTCCCACCAACAGTGTAGAAGTGTTCCTATTTCTCCACATCCTCTCCAGCATCTGTTGTCTCCAGATTTTTTTTTTTTTTTTTTTTTTGAGACGGAGTTTCACTCATGTTACCCAGGCTGGAGTGCAGTGGTGCGATCTCGGCTCATCGCAACCTCCGCCTCCTGGGTTCAGTCAATCCTCCTGCCTCAACCTCCTGAGTAGCTGGGATTACAGGCATGCACCAGTATGCCCAGCTAACGTTTTGTATTTTTAGTAGAGACGGGGTTTCACCGTGTTGACCAGGATGGTCTCGATCTCTTGACCTCGTGATCCACCCGCCTCGGCCTCCCAAAGTGCTGGGATTACAGGCTTGAGCCACAGTGCCTGGCGTCTCCAGATTTTTTAATGATCACCATTCTAACTGGCGTGAGGTGGTATCTCAATGTAGTTTTGATTTGCATTTCTCTAATGACCAGTGATGATGAGCATTTTTTCATATGTTTGTTGGTCTTATGTATGTCTTCTTTTGTAAAGTGTCTGTTCATATCCTTCACCCATTTTTGAATTGGCTTGTTTTTTTCTTGTAAATCTGTTTTAGTTCTTTGTAGATTCTGGATATAAGCCCTTTGTCATATGTGTAGACTGCAAAAATGTTTTCCCATTCTGTTGGGTGCTGATTCACTCTAATGAGTGTTTTTTTTGCCATGCAGAAGCTGTGGAGTTTGATTAGGTCCCATTTGTCTATTTTGGCTTTTGTTGCCAGTGCTTTTGGTGTTTTGGTCGTGAAGCCCTTGCCTATGCCTATGGTCCTGAATGGTTTTGCCTATATTTTCTTCTAGGGTTTTTATGGCGTTAGGTCTTATGTTTGTTTTTAATCCATCTGAAGTTAATTTTAGTGTAAGGTGTCAGGAAGGGGTCAAGTTTCTGCTTTCTGCACATGATTAGCCAGTATTCCCAACACCATTTATTAAACAGGGACTCCTTTCCCCATTGCTTGTTTTTGTCAGGTTTGTGAAAGATCAGATGGTTGTAGATGTGTGGCGTTGTCTCTGAGGCCTCTGTTCTGTTCCATTGGTCTATATCTCTGTTTTGGTACCAGTACCGTGTTGTTTTGATTACTGTAGCTTTGTATAGTTTGAAATCTGGTAGTGTGATACCTTCCGCTTTGTTCTTTTTGTTTAGAATTGGCTTGGCTATGCAGGCTCTCTTTTGGTCCCATACGAAATTTAAGGTGGTTTTTTCGAGTTCTGTGAAGAAGGTCATTGGTAGCTTGATGGGGATAGCGCTGAATCTGTAAATTACTTTGGGCAGTATGGCCATTTTCACGATATTGATTTTTCCTAACCATGAACATGGAATGTTTCTCCATCTGTTTGAGTCCTCTCTTATTTCATTGAGCAGTGGTTTGGAGTTCTCCTTGAAGAGGTCCTTTACGTTCCTTGTTAGTTGTATTCCTAGGTATTTTATTCTCTTGGTAGCAGTTGTGAATGGCAGTTCATTCTTGATTTGGCTTTGTCTGTTACTGGTGTATAGGAATGCTTGTGATTTCTGCACATTGATTTTGTATCCTGAGACTGCTGAAGTCGCGTATCAGTATCAGGAGATTTTGGGCTGAGACGATGGGGTCTTTTAGATACACAATCATGTCGTCTGCAAATAGAGACAATTTGACTTCCTCCTTTCCTATTTGAATGCCCTTTATTTCTTTTCTTGCCTGATTGCTCTGGCTAGAACTTCTAGTACTATGTTGAATAGGAGTGGTGAGAGAGGGCATTCTTGTCTAGTGCCACATTTCAAGGGGAATGCTTCCAGCTTTTGCCCATTCAGTATGATATTGGCTGTTGTTTTGTCATAAATAGCTTTTATTATTTTGAGATACGTTCCGTCAATACCTAGCTTATTGAGGGTTTTTAGCATAAAAGGCTGTTGAATTTTGTCAAAGGCCTTCTCTGCATCACTTGAGATAATCATGTGGTTTTTGTCTTTGGTTCTGTTTATGTGGTGAATTACGTTTATAGACTTGCGTATGTTGAACCAGCCTTGCGTCCCCGGGATGAAGCCTGCTTGATCATGGTGGATAAGCTTTTTGATGTGCTGTTGCAATCGGCTTGTGAGTATTTTATTGAAGATTTTTGCGTCTATGTTCATCATGGATATTGGCCTGAAGTTTTCTTTTCTTGTTGAGTCTCTGCGGGGTTTTGGAATCAGGATGATGTTGGTCTCATAAAATGATTTGGGAAGATTCCCTCTTTTTGGATTGTTAGGAATAGTTTCAGAAGGAATGGTACCAGCTCCTCTTTGTATGTCTGGTAGAATTCGGCTGTGAACCCGTCTGGACCTGGGCTTTTTTTGGGTGGTAGGCTATTAATTGCTGCCTCAACTTCAGACCTTGTTATTGGTCTCTTCAGGGTTTCAGCTTCTTCCTGGGTTAGGCTTGGGAAGAGGCAAGTGTTCAGGAATTTATCCATTTCTTCCAGGTTTACTAGTTTATGTGCATAGAGTTGTTTGTAATAATCTCTGATGAAGGTTTGTATTTCTGTGGAATCTGTGGTGATATCCCCTTTATCGTTTTTTATTGCATCTATTTGATTTTTCTCTCTTTTCTTTTTTGTTAATGTGGCTTGTGGTCTATTTTGTTGATCTTTTCGAAAAACCAGCTCTTGGATTTATTGATTTTTTTTTCTTTAAGGGTTCTTCGTCTCTATCTCCTTCAGTTCTGCTTTGATCTTAGTTATTTCTTGTCTTCTGCAAGGTTTTGAGATTTTTGATCTTGCTCCTCTAGCTCTTTCAATTTTGACGATAGTGGGTCTGTCGATTTTAGATATCTCCTTGCTTCTCATGTAGGCATTTATTGCTATATAGTTTCCCCTAGAGACTGCTTTACATGTGTCCCAGAGATTCTGGTATGTTGTATCTTTGTTCTTGTTAGTCTCGAAGAACATCTTAATTTCTGCCTTCATTTCTTTTTCTTTTTTTTTTTTTTTTTGGGAGGGGTTTTTGTCTTTTTTTCCCGGCTGGAGTGGAATTGCGCGATCTCCACTCACCGCAACCTCCGCCTCCTGGGTTCAGGCAATTCTCCTGTCTCAGCCTCCTGAGTAGCTGGGATTACAGGCACGCGCCACCATGCCCAGCTGATTTTTTGCATTTTTAGTAGAGACGGGGTTTCACCATGTTGACCAGGATGGTCTCGATCTCTTGACCTCGTGATCCACCCGCCTCGGCCCCCCAAAGTGCTGGGATTACAGGCGTGAGCCACCGCGCCCGGCTCATTTCATTGTTTATCCAGTCAACATTCAAGAGCCGGTTGTTCGGTTTCCGTGAAGCTGTGCGGTTTTGAGTTAGTTTCTGAATTCTGATTTCTAACTTGATTGCACTGTGGTCTGAGAGACTTATGATTTCCGTTCTTTTGCATTTGCTGAGGAGTGATTTACTTACAATTATGTGGTCAGTTTTAGAGTAGGTGTGATGTGGTGCTGAGAAGAATGTATATTCTGTGTATTTGGGGTGGAGAGTTCTGTAAATGTCTATTAGGTTTGCTTGTTCCAGGTCTCAGTTCAAGTCCTGGATATCCTTGCTAATTTTCTGTCTCATCGATCTAATATTGACAATGGTGTGTTAAAGTCTCCCATTATTATTGTGTGGGAGTCTAAGTCTCTTTGTAAGTCATTAAGAACTTGCTTTATGTATCTGGGTGCTCCTGTATTGGGTGCATATATGTTTAGGATCGTTAGCTCTACTAGTTGCATCGATCCTGTTACCATTATGTAATGTCCTTCTTTGTCACTTTTGATCTTTGTTGGTTTAAAGTCTAATTTATCAGAGACTAGGATTGCAGCTCCTGCTTTTTTTTGCTCTCCATTTGCTTGGTAAGTCTTCCTGCATCCCTTTATTTTGAGCCTTTGTGTATCCTTGCATGTGAGATGGGTTTCCTGGATACAGCACACCGATGGGTTTTGGCTTTTTATCCAGTTTGCCAGTCTGTGTCTTTTGATTGGGGCATTTAGCCGATTTACATTTAGGGTTAATATTATTATGTGTGAATTTGATCCTGCCGTTTTGATGCTAGCTGGCTGTTTTGCCCGTTAGTTGATGCAGTTTCTTCATTGTGTGGATGCTCTTTACCATTTGGTTTGTTTTTGGAGTGGCCAGTACTGGTTGTTCCTTTCTATGTTTAGTGCCTCTTTCAGGAGCCCTTGTAAAGCAGGCCTGGTGGTGATGAAATCTCTGAGTACTTGCTTGTTCGCAAACGATTTTATTTTTCCTTCACTTATGAAGCTTAGTTTGGCTGGATATGAAATTCTGGGTTGAAAGTTCTTTTCTTTAAAGATGTTGAATGTTGGCCCCCACTCTCTTCTGGCATGTAGGGTTTCTGCTGAGAGAGCTGCTGTGAGTCTGATGGGCTTCCCTTTGTGGGTAATCCGACCTTTCTCTCTGGCTTCCGTTAGGATTTTCTCCTTCATTTCAACCCTAGTGAATCTGACGATTATGTGCCTTGGGGTTGCTCTTCTTGAGGAATATCTTTGTGATGTTCTCTGTATTTCCTGGACTTGAATATTGGCTTGCCTTTCTAGGTTGGGAATGCTTTCCTGAATAATATCCTGAAGAGTATTTTCCAGCTTGGATTTATTCTCTCTGTCATATTCAGGTACACCTATCAAACGTAGATTAGGTCTTTTCACATAGTCCCATATTTCTTGGAGACTTTGTTATTCCTTTTTACCCTTTTTTCTCTAATCTTGGCTCCTCGTTTTATTTCATTGAGTTGATCTTTGACCTCTGATATCCTTTCTTCTGCTTGGTCAATTTGGCTGTTGAAACTTGTGCATGCTGTGCGAAGTTCTTGTGTTGTGTTTCTCCGCTCCATCAATTCACTTATATTCCTCTCTAAGTTGTCCATTCTTGTTCGCATTTTGTCAAATCTTTTTTCAAGGTTCTTAGTTTCTTTGCATTGGGTTAGAACATGCTTTTCTGGCTCACAGAAGTTTATTAGCCACCTTCTGAAGCCTGATTCTGTCAGTTCATCACACTCATTCTCCATCCAGCCTTGTTCCCTTGCTGGTGAGGAGTTGTGATTCCTTGTAGGAGAAGAGGCTTTCTGGTTTTGGGTGTTTTCATCCTTTTTGTGCTGGTTTCTTCCCATCTTTGTGGATTTATCTGCCTATCGTCTATGTAGTTGTTGACTTTCAGATTGGGTCTCTGAGTCGACGTCCAGTTTGTTGATGATGAAGTTATTTCTTTCTGTTTTTTAGTTTTCCTTCTAACAGTTAGGCTCCTCTGCTGTAGGACTGCTGAGGTCCACTCCAGGCCCTGCTTGCCTGGGAATCACCTGCAGTGTCTGCAGAACAGTAAGGGTTGCTGCCAGTTTCTTCTTCTGCTATCTTTGTCTCAGAAGGATACCTGCCAGATGTCAGTCTGAGCTCTCCTTTATGAGGTGACTCTTCGGATATATGGAGGTCAGGGAGCTGCTTGAGGAAACAGTGTGTTCTTTATAGGTGCTCAAGTGCTGAGCTGTGAGCTCTGTTGTTCATTCAGAGCTGCTGGGCAGGTACGTTTACGTCTGCTGTAGCAGAACTCATAAACAAACCCCTCCCTTCCCCCCCCCCCCCAGGTGCTCTGTCCCGGGGAGTTAGGGCTTTATTTATGAGTTTCTGTTGTGCTGCTGCCTTTTTTCAGGGCTGCCGTGCCCAGCGAGGAGGCAGCCTAGTCACTGTCTGCAGAGGCTTTGCTGAGCTGCTGTGGGCTCTGCCCAGCTGCCATATGAACTTCCCTGCAGTCCTGTTAATACGGGTGTAGTTAGAACTGCCTTGGCAGTGGCGGTCCACCTCTGTAATGATGGGCTGCCTCAGCAATGGCAAACTACCTCCATAGTGGTGGACTGCCTCAGTAATGGCAGACGCCCCTCCCCCACAGAGCTGGACCATCCCGGGTTCAGCTGTGCTTGCTGTGAAACTCTCAATCCAGAGTGTTTCAGATTGCTTTTTTTTTTTTTGTGGGAGTGGACCCACCCAGCCCGATCACCTGGCTCCCGCCTACGGACCCTTTTTTTTTTTTTTTTTTTTTTTTCTTTTCAGTTGAAAGGTTGACTCTCTCCCAGGTGTTCCAGTTGCCTGTTGAAAAGGCACCGGGATCCGTGTGATTTACCGTGCGGCCACCCACAGCGTTGGGTGAAACAGCGGCGCTGTGGCGCTTTTTTGCCCAGGAATCTCCTGGCCTGGCTCCCTGTTTCAGTCCCCTTTTTAGTCAGTTTAATGGGCAACTCTGTCTGCCAGGAGCTCCAATCGCTAGCTAAAACGGCGCCTGGACCTGTGTATTTTGTACGGAGAACCGCTGTGCCGGCGACCCATGGGACCCTCCACCTGGGAATCTCCTGGTCTGTGGGCAATAAAAATCCATCTGGAAATTCGGCATCCGGTCACCCTCTGCACTTTCTCTGGGAGCTGCAATCCTGAGGTGCTTCTTATCGGCCATCTTGGATCCCTTCCCTGTCATGTCCCCCTTAATGCATTGGTCTTAGTATTCCTCAGGGAATAGCAGGATACTGCGAAGTTTTAAAGAAGCTCTTGCTGTACGAGGCCTAGATCATTGAAATGGAAAGAATGTCACTGAAAAGAGTCAAACTTGTAATATTTGAGGAGATTTATTCTGAGCCAAATGTGAGTGACCATACGTGCGAGCTGTCAGGTGGCTCTGAGAACGTGTGCCCCAGGTGGTCAGGGTACAGCTTGCTTTATAGATTTTAGGGAGGCATGAGACATCAATCAGATCACACCTGTAATGTCAGCACTTCGGGAGGCCAAGGCAGGCATGTCACTTGAGGTCAGGAGTTCGAGACCAGCCTGGCTAACATGGTGAAACCCTGTCTGTACTCAAAATACAAAAATTAGCCAGGTGGGATGGCAGATGCCTATAATCCCAGCTATTTGGGAGGCTGAAGCAGGAGAATCGAATGATCCGGGAGGTAGAGGTTGTGGTGAGCTAAGATTGCATCACTGCAGTACAGCCTGGGCCACTTGTCTTGAAAAATAAAATTACATTGTTTAGGTCTAGAAAGGCAAACAACTCAAAGCAAGGGTGGGACAGGGGAGCTTCCAGAGTATTGGTGAATTAAAACATTTTCTAGTTGACAATTGGTCGAGTTGTCTAAAGACTTGGCATTAATAGAAAGGAAATGTTGAGGTTAAAAGATTGTGGAGAAGGTTCCTTTGAAGTCTCCTAGTGGCTGCCCTTAGAGACAATAGATGACAAATGTTTCCTGTGCAGACCTTTAAAAGGTGCTAGATTTTAAGTTAATCTCTTCAGGATTGGGAGGGCCTGGAAGAACAAGATCTAGCTATGTGAATCGAGTCTTTACAGATGCACATTTTCCCCCACAAAGGACGCTTTACATGATGATTTCAAAATATGTCAAAGAAACATATTTTGGGGTAAAATATTTTGATTTTTTGTCACGTAATATTACGCCAGAGTCAGATTGGAAACTAAGTCACAACATGCAGGGTTAAATAAAACCCATATGATGAGAATTTATGGTTTGTAGTACATGACTCCCCAGGCTCCTTAGATAGGAATTTATTTGGACAATATAAAAAAAATTCACCTTAGTCCTCAATGCAGTCTGTTTCAAGCAGTGTTGGTACTGCAGGATACAAAGTTGTGTTAAGGTTTGAAGACTCGTTTATAGATGCTTCTAAAGAGATGAGCATACATGTTTTGCTTTGCGGAGTCTGCGTGAGTCTAAAGAAACTGCCCCTGGGGGAGAACTGACTGTGGAGACTGGCCAGAAAAACCTGTCAGGGTTGGAGCAGTCTCCTCCCCTGGGGTGGGCCAGGGTGGGGTGGGGACCTCAGGCCCTCAGCTGATTGGATGAGGCCCATACACCTTAAGGAGGCCACCTGCTTCTCCCAGTCTCCTGATTGAAATGTTCATCCCATCCAGAATCACCCAGAAGGACAATGTTCGGCTCAATATTTGGGAACTCCGTGCATGGCTCAGTCAGCCACAACATGAAATTAACCATGTTTGCAACTTGGCACCCATATGCCTCTCCTTAGCCCAGGCTTAATCTTCAAGTGAAGACAAGAGCGAGATCATAGCCACCTAACATACCACTGTCCTACACACTACAAAAAGCACACTAGCCCCTTGCCCAGTGGAGGTCACGTCCTCCCGTGATAGTTGCCGTTCTCATTGATACGATCAAGCGATTCTTCTGCTTCAGCTTCCCGAGTAGCTGGGATTACAGGTGCCAACCACCACTCTTGGATAACTCTTTCGAATTTTTAGTAGACAGGCTGTGTCACCATGTTGGCCAGGCTGGTCTTAAAACTCCTGACCTCAAGCGATCTGCCTGCCTTGGCCTCGCAATGTGGTGGGTTTACAGACATGAGCTGCTGCATCCGCCAAAAAATGCTTTTTCTTTTTTTGATCCAGAGTTCCGCTCTTGTTGCCCAGGCTAGAGTGCAACGGCGTGATCACAGCTCATTGAAACCTCTGTCATTCAGGTTCAAGTAATTCTCTTGCCTCAGCTTCCCCAGTAGCTGAGATTACGGGCATGCACCACCGTGACTGGCTAATTTTGTATTTTTAATAGAGAATGGGGTTTCTCCATGTTGGTCAGGCTGGTCTTGAACTCCCAACTTCAGGTGATCCGCCCATCTCGGCCTCCCAAAGTGCTAGGATCACAGGCGTGAGCCACCATGCCTGGCCAGGAAATGCTTTTAAATTGTCACCTCCTAGGGCAGATGTAGAGTTACTGCATAATCAGTTTTAAATGTATTTGTAATGTTTCTGTTTCTTCACCTGGATAAGATAGGTTGTAGGTATGTCAGAGTACTTAACTGACATGATGCGTAGGCTGTGGCTGTAAATTAGAAAGTTACTAAATAGAATGCTTGGATTTTATTTGAGTTGGATGAAGTTTTTATGTCCTGGAGAAATTCACAAAATGTTCGTAGTTTTACATAAAAGGTTATGATTTAACATCTTTGCTTTTGTTCTTGTCTTTGAGGCGAATTCTTACTCTTTTGCCCAGGTTGGAGTGCAGTGGCTTGATCTCCACTCACTGCAACCTCCGCCTCCCAGGTTCAAGTGATTGTTCTGCCTCAGCCTTCTGAGTAGCTGGGATTACAGGTGCCCGACACCACACCTGGCTAATTTTTGTATTTTTAGTAGAGATGGGGTTTTACTACGTTGGTGAGGTTGGTTTTGAACTCCTGACTTCAAGTGATCTGCCCACCTTAGCCTCCCAAAGTGCTGGGATTACATGTGTGAGCCATCGTGTCTGGCCTTGTTCTTGCCTTTGATAGAACAGTGGCAGAAGTAATAACTGTTTGCAAAGTACCTATGACTCTCTCAACATTATTTTATTTGGGGGGAGGGCATTGACTGTGGAATGTAGGCAGTAACTTGCACAATCAGTAACTGTCGTGCAACATCTTGTTGGCATACCTGTTCTGGCACTCCTCCTCTAGGCCTCCCCGTTGGGCTGGCTTGTGGGTGGAGGTAGGCATGGGGTGTCTCGGCACTGGCTGTGCATGCCTCCTTCCTCTCCTGTCTCTTGGCCACCTCTTCCAAAAAGCCACCAGTGACCAGTGTTGCTTTCTTCAGACTCAGTGTCTTGGCCTTGGCATTGGTCAAAGCCGACTGGCAAGTTTCATTTCGATGAGCTCTGTAATAGACCGGTGTGGACCTCTGTTCCTCCTTCCTCTGGAAGCTTTCTCAGCCCTTGCTCCTCACTATTTACTATTGCAGGTCCTGAGGGTACCCAGCATCTAAGGTTTTGGGTGCTCACCTGTACACTGATTCTTTCCGGCTGTGGGCAGAGTCACCTCAGGTGCTGCTTTTCTCCAGTGACTTAATATTTTTTTGTTGTTTTTGAGACCCGAGTCTCGCTCTGTTTCCCAGGCTGGAGTGCAGTGGTGCGATCTCAGCTCACTGCAGCCTCGCCTCCTGGGTTCAAGCAATTCTCCTGCCTCATTCTCCGGAGTAGCTGGGACTACAGGCATCCATCACTACGCCCAGCTAAGTTTTGTGTTTTTAGTAGAGACAGGGTTTCACCATGTTGGCCAGGATGGCCTTGATTTCTTGACCTTGTGATCCACCTGCCGCAGCCTCCCAAAGTGGTGGGATTACAGGTGTGAGTCACTGTTCCAGGCCTGGTCATTTAATTTTTTTAGTAGACACAAAGTCTTGCTATGTTGCCCAGCCTGGATTCAAACTCCTGAGCTTAAGGAATCCTCCCACCTCAGCCTCCAGAGTAGCTGGATCAAGTCACTCTTGTTCATAAACCTCAGTTGCTTCATAAATCTTGATTTCTGCTTAATTTCAGTGCTTGCTGTTTGTACCCTTGTGTACTGTATAGTATTTATTGATATAACGTTTGTGACTCAAATGTATCCACTCCGGCCTGCAAGTAGGCCATACTGATTCTGTAGTTGGTTCTGGCTTGCCTTTTTCTTTACCTTGCATGCATTTATGTCTTAATGCATCTATTAGAATTCTTTGCTTTTATCACATATTTCCCATTTTTCTGAAAAAATACAGTACCTAGCAATAATGCAGAACCCAGGTAAAGTAAAACGGTTTGTATACTTTATGAATTTTCAGTAAGTACTCTTTGATTGATAATAGCAGCAAAGGAAAACAAACGGTCAGTGCTGATGCTTATTTTCAGGAGCATTTTGTCTCCAGGTGGCAGCATGATGCTTCCTCATGTCAGTGATTTTCTGTTGAGACACCTTCAAGTGTAATCTTAACGTCTGTTGGTTAACATTTGTTCAGATTTGATTGTAGTTAATCCTTCAGAGTTTTTTGAGACATCAGAGTTACAATGAAGGGAATTTGCTTTGCCTGGGCTCATGGCTTTCGCGTGACCAGGGTCATCACGTTTCTGTTTGTTTCTGAATTGCTTTGGAGAAGGCAATTCAGACTCCAAGGAATACAACAGCCTCAGTGTGAAGCTTTTCGCACTTTTGCAGTGGTTGTAGCAGGTTCACCGTCTAACAGGACCTCAGATAAGTGATGTGAAATGAGCTGAGTTTGAAGTACATATTGATGCTCCGTAAAGTGTGTGTATATGTGCTGTTTTTAATTTAATTTATTTGATATAATGTGTTGTAGTTTTACTTGAACTAGTAAAACTGTTGGTGAGATGTTATTTCAGTTACTCTGTAGATAATAAGCTCTTTTGTTACCACCCATTTTCTAAGTTTTTGTTACTAAATATGTTAAAAAAGATTGATCTGTTTTCTCTTATTGTAGCTATCCCATGAGGAAAAAAACTTGGAAAAAAGACTTCATCGTGTATGTTTGTGTTTGATTTTAGAAGACCCTTTTGAGGACTTCTTGGGGAATCGAAGGGGTCCCCGAGGAAGCAGAAGCCGAGGGACGGGGTCGTTCTTCTCTGCGTTCGGTGGATTTCCATCTTTTGGAAGTGCATTTCCTTCTTTTGATACAGGTATTAAGTCCCTAGATTTAATCTCTATTGCCTTAACAAAACAGTTGGTACTTATAAGCATAACATTCTTTGTTAGAGCACTTTAAAATACGTGTATTCCATTCCCCCCCTCCTTTTTTTTTTTTTTTTTTTTTTTAAAGATTAAGATGGAGTTTTGCTCTTGTTGCCCAGGCTGGAGTGCAATGGCATGATCTTGGCTCACTCCGTCTCCTGTGCTCAAGCAATTCTCCTCCCTCAGCCTCCCAAAGTAGTTGGGATTACAGGCGTGCATCACCATGCCCTGCTAATTTTTGACTTCCAAGTCTTACTTAAGAAATATATTTTATAATACGTTAGCTGCCACAGATAGTGATTCCTCTGATGGATCTGGGCAAAGTCAATTGAAAAATTTCTGGAAAAAATGATGACATTAAGAACAGTGTGATTCATGGAAGGAAGGAGGTGACAATATCCCCCTGAGCAGGAGTTTGGAAGAAGCTGATTCCATTCCTCACGGATGACTTTGAGGAGTTCAGACCTTGAGTGGAGGAAATCATGCAGATGTGGTTGGAGGAGAAAGAGAATTACATTTTTTTTTTTTAAACTATGAAATATTTTTAATCCTATAAAGGATGTGATTGCTAGTAATTAAAGAGGGGGAGAGTCAACAATAAAGAAATTCAGATTTTTTTAAAATTCAGTGAACACATAGCAAAATGCTCAATGTTGTTAAATGACATAATTTATTTACAGAAGACATGTTCTCATCTTTTTTTTTTTTTTTTTTTTGGAGGCGGAGTTTTGTTGTTGTTGCCTAGGCTGGAGTGCAATGGCGCGATCTCGGCTCACCGCAACCTCCGCCTCCTGGGTTCAGGCAATTCTCCTGCCTCAGCCTCCTGAGTAGCTGGGATTACAGGCACGCACCACCATGCCCAGCTAATTTTTTGTATTTTTAGTAGAGACGGGGTTTCACCATGTTGACCAGGATGGTCTCGATCTCTTAACCTCGTGATCCACCCACCTCGGCCTCCCAAAGTGCTGGGATTACAGGCGTGAGCCACCACATGTGGCCTGGAGTTGTTGTTTTGATTCTCTCATTTTTATGTTTAAACCTTCACGGTAAGAATTGGGAGAGCTTCTTATATAGTGTTCCCTCCTCATAAGGTCAGAGTTTTGTTTTCTTTCAACACTGTGCTCATGCAGCTAGGCAAATAGTGAAGTCTCCTCGATTGGACCTCAGTTTGGATGTGCTTTCCCTCAACAGAACCTCTCATTGATACAATGGAATATGCTGACCACAGGTTAAGAAAACTAGTTAAAAATACCATATAAATAGTCCTTTTTAAAAGTAATCAGTGGCTCCTGTGTGTGGGGTTGTTGTGCAGCAAGCCGTCCCCACTTCTGAGGTGCCTTACGGAGTATCACAAGAATTGATACTTAGGCTTCATCTAGACCAGCGCAGTAGCCACCAGCCATGCGCAGCTCCTGAGCCCTGGAGGCCTGGGGACTCCACATGGAGACCAGCGTGAGTGAAAGCAGTGTAAAATACCGCGAATGATTTTGATTTTTTATATTTCCAACTGAAGTATTTTGGATATACTATATTTAATACTAAAATTTCACTGGTTTCTGCTTTTTAGTGAAATCATTAGAAAAGGTAAACTTAACATACCTGGCTCACATATTTCTTGAGGACACCACCAGTCCTAGACAGTATCAGGGCGTAGATGACTGAATCCTGTTCAGAGGTATGCGTCGTTTGTGTTAATGGGAGCCTTTTGGAAGCAGCATGAGTATTGAACTCTAATCAGTAGGCCAGCTTTAATATCAAAAAAGTTTTGCTTTAGTATGACTTGTGAAATTTTTTAGTGTCCACACTGTGATTGTGTCCATAATGTATAATTGAGAATGGTGTCTGTGAACTGTAGAACCATAGTTTTTTCAGATGAATACTTGTAATATTCTCTCTCAAATTAGATTTTTTAATAATTTAGATTGTTATTCCCTGTGGTCCTGTGGCAAAGCAAAGGGAAGCCAGTTAGGTTTGCTGTTCTGTGGTGGTGAGGTTACTCTGTTTGTGTAGGATAAGGATATCCATCACAGCCCATGGAGTTGACAGGCCACGCTGAAGCAAACATAGCTTTGTATTGAGGCTGGTCTGCTGGTCGGAGCTTAATACCAGTCCTGGTTTCAGAAGGTTCACATTAACGCAGATAACACATGGGCTGTGGCATGTTGGCAAAGCTGCTCAGGTCCACTGAAGCTCTGTGTGAGGAGACGGAGAGGGGCTGCACCGAAGCTCTGTGTGAGGCAGCGGGGAGGCTGCGCTCTCGTGCTCCCCTAGAACCCCCTCTGAGGGATTTGAGAGGGTCTTTTCCCCTGGGACCACGGCACTTCACCGGAGGCCTTGCTAGTTGCGTGGTGTATTACGAATCCATTCCATGTCTTAACATTAGATAATCTACTACTGAATTTTCAAACTCTTAATCTTTGTAGTAATAATTGACGTATTTCTCTAAGCATTTTTCTTTTCTGTTTTCCTGTAGGATTTACTTCATTTGGGCCACTGGGTCACGGAGGCCTCACTTCATTTTCTTCTGCGTCATTTGGCGGTAGTGGGATGGGCAACTTCAAATCGATATCAACTTCAACTAAAATAGTTAATGGCAGAAAAATCACTACAAAGAGGTACTTTCATGTTTTTAGTAAGCAGGCATATGTTTCACTGGTGCCCTGTTGGACATCTCCCAGAGTGTGAAGTTACCCAGGTGGCTATATGCCAAATCTGGCACCGTGAAAAATCTTTTACTCTCCAAATTCATTCATTAAGGCTTTTTCTCTTAAGTTAATGTTGATTTATTAGAAGGAATCTTTAAAGCCATATTTTATGTGTAATAATATGTTTAATACGTTTCTGCAGCAGTGTTAAAATGGTAAAATGGAAAATCATTAATAATAAAGACTTTACTGTTTGATCTGTGCCTTTAACATTCACCTAAACAACTGAATGAGTGAATATCTGAGACACAATTTATTTTTGTCAGGATAATTCTGTTTTAGAAAAGGAAGATGTATTGTTCACAGGTTGGCTTCAGCCATGTTTTTTCAGCCTAGAAATTACTTATATTCATGGTGTACTGCAGTAATGTCCTTAAAAAATACTTATTTACCCTCACGCCTGTATTTATGTTACCAAAAAGGTTTTTAAATGAATTTTTTCCTACAGAATTGTCGAGAATGGTCAAGAAAGAGTAGAAGTTGAAGAAGACGGCCAGTTAAAGTCCTTAACAATAAATGGTAAGGAGCAGCTGCTGCGCTTGGATAACAAGTAATTCAACGCACGCGCTTAACAGAAATGTTAAACTATAACAAGCACCATTTGAGGATTAACAGGAACATTTTTTTGAAGATTCCAAACGAACTCGACTTTCAGTATAATTGTACCTAAAGTATTTATAAACAGCTCATCGGAGCCTCTGTTTGTCATAGACTTTTGAGTTTATTGTTGGGACCACATAATAGGACCATTTTTTTTTTTTTTTTTTTTTTTTTTGTCTTTAAATTTGTTGTAAATCTCTGTATGCACTTTGCTTTTTTATTAAACGTACTCCAAGGTGAGTCTTGACTCTTTAGTGTAGGACAAGATTGTACACTAACACCAGCATGGACCTGCTTTTCATTGTGTCTGAAATGTGAGCCACGTAGTGTCGGCCTGCTGTGAAGTTAACATTGCCAGGACGAATCTTCTACAGAAATAATCTCCATTTTTTTCAGTATTTAGTAGTGAAAGATATTAATGCATTAATGGTAATACATTTCTGGTTTAATATAAATTACGGATGTTTCCTAGTTGTGCATGAACGCTGGCAACTTAGTAAGTTTTGACAATTGTTTAAATATGTAATGTTAAGCTTAGGTTTAAAAAAGTAAAGCTGGTAAACCGGGTCTTTGTCATTTGCTTTAAAAAAAAAAAAAAAAAAAAAAAAAAGAAAATAAATGCGAATGTGTTGGTGCATTCTTCCTGAGTGGGATCTGGAGCTTTCTTGTGTCTGTGTATGATTTGTGCCTGGGCTTACCTAGTGTCACTTCTATAGCGTTTTGTGATGTTCATTCAGGTGGAGGCTGCACCTCAGTTACATGTAGACATTTTCTTCCGTATATTTGTAATATATGAAGATTTTCATATTGTAATTTGCGATTTAGCAATTGATCAAACATTAGCGTTTCTACAGAGGTGGGAAGAAACCATTGTATAATTTTCACTCTTAAAGTATGTTCAAGTTTTTAGGATTTGATGTAAGATCACTTATGGAGCGAAGTGCGGTGGCTTACTCCTGTAATCTCAGCACTTTGGGAGGCCGAGGTGGGTAGGTCACCTGAGGTCGGGAGTTTGAGACCAGCCTGACCAAGATGGTGACCCAACTCTCCTAAAAATACAAACATTAGCCGGGTTTGGTGGTGGGCACCTGTAATCTCAGCTACTCAGGAGGCTGAAGCAGGAGAACTATTTGAACCCGGGAGGCGGAGGTTGCAGTGAGCCGAGATCACGCCACTGCACTCCAGCCTGGTGACAGAGGGAGATTCTGTCTCTCAAAACAAAACAAAAAAAACACTTATAGAGAGTATGTATGGTATAGTCATGGAATTATTTAGGAGTGAGCAAAAAAAAGGTATTTCTTTTGTTTCTCAGTTTGCAGTATCTTTCATGATTACCATTAGTAACTAGAATTCTAGCCATAGTGAATATTAAACTAGAGTTTGAGTTTAAAAAAAAAAAAAAACTTTTGTTTTGGAACTAAACAGTGTGAAAGGTGCTAGCAGGATGGACACTGCCCTGACAACAGCACGTCCGTGCTGTCTTAGCAGGAGGGCATAGTGATTGCTCAGGATATGCCAGAGCCTTTAAGGAACCAGACGTGCTGTCACCCAAAATAAGAAATGTAAGGAATTTCATAGGCGCTCAAAACAGCATAGCAACAGTTAAGTATTTGGGGACAGTTGAACTACTAATGTAGTTCAAGAAGAACAACAAATGATGTGCTTGTCTGTGTTGTATCAGAAATAACCTAGCACGCGGCACTTCGCATCTTTGGATAAGGTAGGTATGCAGCCCTGCATGGCGGGCGCCATACATGCGGGGAAGCGCCCTCTAGTGTGGTAAATCTCACCTCCCAACTAGAATCGGAGGGTTATAGAGCGTCCTTTTGTTTATGCTGCCTGGACAGGTGGCGGCTTTGTTACTAAATGAGAAATTGAAGTAGATACTTTGGACTTCAGTGTTTGATATTTTTCATTAGTGGGTGGGATAAGTCAGCGCAGCAGCCTCGAGACATCCAGGGATGTCCAGAAACAATATGTAAAATAAAAAGTCTTGTCTGTCCCTTAACTGTTGAAGTAAACTAGGAAGAAGTTTGCCATAGCTTTGGGACCACAAAATTTTCAAACACATTTGGATGTTCTAGACTTTGTGGAGTGTTTTATGCAACTCTGTGAACAGTTTGCTCAACACGATGTTCCTGGTAACATACGTTTGACTCCTGAGGAATCTCTGTGGTGAAAATTTTGAGGGGGTAGGTAGCATTCATTTGCATTTGAGAAAATCTCTTTTTTTATTTTTTTAATTTTGGGATGGAGTCTTGCTCTGTCACCCAGGCTGGAGTGCAGTGGCGTGATCTTGACTCACTGTAACCTCTGCTATAACCTCTGCCTCCCAGGTTCAAGCGGTTCTCCTGCCTCAGCCTCCTGAGTAGCTGGGATTATAGGTGTGTGCTACCACACCCGACTAATTTTTGTATTTTTATTAGAAACAAGGTTTTACCATGTTGTCCAGGCTGGTCTGGAACTCCTGACCTCAAGTGATCTGCGCACCTCTGCCTCCCAGTCCTGGGATTACAGGCTTGAGCCACCATGCCTGGCTGAGAGTTTTATTCTGTTCTTCCATTCATAGAATTGTAATCTTTATAAGTTACTGACAGAATAGGAAACATATTTGTTGCTTTCAAATCTTACACCTTTGATTTTTAAACCCTATTAAGTTTATTCCTAGAGAATTCAGTCTTAAGTGCATGAGAGCAGCTTTGAGAAGTTAGGAAACTGCTTTGAGCAGTGATGGCATCACTCAAGTGATGACTTGGAAGAATAATGTTTAATGTAAATCACAGTTTTTGGTAAATTCGACAGCCTCTTTCTGTAGTGTTGAGTGTCTTTGAAAATAGGAAGCTGAACGAACGCTCTTTTGTAAACGGCGGTGGGTATCTGGGTGTGCGGAGCCCCATGTGGTCCCATCCAGACCAGTGTGCTGTCTGCTGTGTTTGGTTGTATGCAACTTTCGTGTTTGAGATTACTTTTTAAGTTTTATTTTGAAATTCTTTGTTTAAAAAAATGTTTTAGTAGCTTTTATGTAAGTGGTCTTTGGTGGTGGTATGCATTAGATCGTGGTAAGTTCTGAGTTCTGAGATGCTAGTGCTCCTGTCACCCAAGCAGTGTATGTTGTACCCACAGTGTAGTTTTTTAGTCCTCTTTGTCATCTTTTTGTCTGGAGGGCTCGGTAATCTGTGTTGTCATCTCTGCCGTGTTTTCGTATTCCTTGTAGTTGGGCTCAGCAAGGATTTTAAATAATCTGGAAGCTGTGAATAGTGGCATTATGGGTGATGCATCCTTCCTCTTGGAAGTTCTTCAACGAGAAGATTTTAGAAGTGGGTCGAGTTAGCGTCAACATTTGCTGAACTTAGCTGTGCACCTAGTGTGCTGAAGGAAGTGTTCCTTACAACGTGGTAGTGCTTGAGCATTGTGGGGTGGGTGTCTCTCCAGCCAATGTTAATTTCTTTTTATTAATTAAAGCTTTAAAAATGCCTGGCTTACCCTGTTTTGATTACCTTCCAGCTATCATTTCTCTCTCCAGGGAATAGTGATCTTGTTTTTCTTTTAAGCACCATGAATTAATTAGAAACGTTTTTATTTGCAGAGTATTCAACAGTAATAAATAATTGGCATGTTATCTGCTGTTGATTGGCAGCGGTGTTGAAATTTAGCCATTAATATGTTCAGTAACAGAATAGAGGCAGTTTTTTTGAGACAGAGTTTCACTCTTATTACCCAGGCTGGAGTGCAATGGCGTAATCTCGGCTGACTGCAACCTCTGCCTCCTGGGTTCAAGCAATTCTCCTGCCTCAACCTCCCGAGTAGCTGGGACTACAGGCACGCGCCACCATGCCCAGCTAATTTTTTTTGTATTTTTAGTTGAGACAGGGTTTCACCGTTTAGACCAGGATGGTCTTGATCTCTTGACCTCGTGATCCACCTGCCTCGGCCTCCCAAAGTGCTGGGATTATAGGCGTGAGCCACCGTGCCTGGCTTGAGACAGATGTTTTTATTTCTGGAGGTTTTCAAGTACAAAGTTGTGTTGAGTTGATATTGTAGGGTCTAGAGGGGGTTGAACTTCATAACCCACTGCCATTTGTTAGTTTAAAAAGTGAAGGCACGAGATCATCTTACTGTTTGCGGTCTTGGTTTCCAGGCCTTTGGATATGGTGTTCTTAGCTATTCTAGGATGTGGGGTAAATAGATGTAGACCTTGGTACTAACGTGTGACCAATGGTTGAAATGGGATAGACTGAAGGCTGTCATTTGGCCAAGTTATTTTGTCTTCTAGTTTAGAAAGGTGAAGAGAATGTCACAGCAGCTCTTTTCTGTTAGAAATCTAGATGTCCGTGATTTCCGGAGACGGCAGAGTTTATGATTGGGTATCAGAAGGCCTGGATTCTGTGCTGTGGTCCATATTTGCTGCCTTTTTGCAGGGTGTCAGTTGGTCTTACCTAACTGTTTACTAAGGACTCGGCTCTGAGCTTTGTGACCGGGATAAGTTGCAGACTTGGGAGACCCCTGACTGTGCTTTTCCCTGTACCCTGATTTGGACACGATTCCTGCCCTGGAGTACAACCCCACAGGAAGGCAGGTCCTGGGAAGACAGTAATTCTTGTCTGTCTTGCTGCTGCTGTGTCCTGGCAGTGGTGCCCTGGAAGCATCCGTGAGTGCTTGCTGCGGAAACCCAGATGCTGGTAGCCGTCCCACAGCCCCTGATTCAGAGGCCCCGGACCGTGGCTGCCTGGAGTGTAGCACAGGGGCTCCCTCCCCGCATCGCGCCTGCTGTGCGACCTGAGGCCCAGCCTGCTGCTGGAGGCTTGCCATGTGGACCACAAGGAGCTACAGCTTGGCTCTCGATTCTCCCCTCCGGGAGCCCTGACTAGTAGATGCCTCTGTAGTGCTGATGCCACAGGCTCGTCAGTGCACGCTGCAGCTGCAAACGTAGCATCCTTTTCTCCCCTATTTTGGTTTCTCTCAAACAGGGCAGGACTGTCATTCCATTCCTCCACTTTGCCCTTATTCTTTCTGCCATCCAGTTCCTGAACTGACTGCCATTCAGGCACTGGTGGAAAATCGCTTCAGAAGCGGAGAGACCCGGAGGTCTTCTGAGGGAGGTTGGGTGCTGAAACATTGCTGCAGAAGTGTGGGATGGAGCCTCCTTCCTGCCGGTCTCACCCGGGGGATGTGATTTGCTTTCCCTGTGGTCAGCGTTGTGATAGGAGCTCTTGAGAGGTGGCCATTTTCTCTGTCTTCCCAGAGCTGCCCTGAATTGGCAAGAAGTGATGAGCCAGAGGGCAGGGTCGAATTGCTAATGGTGTGTGGGGAGACATGGCTTCTGAGGCCTGGAGCATTCATTCATTCATTCCTTTTATTTTATATTTTACTTATTTTTTGGACCAGGTTTCACTCTGTATCCCAGGCTAGAGAGCAGTGGTGCAATCATGGCTCACTGTAGCCTTGAACTCCTGGGCACAAGTATTCCTGCCACCTCAGCCCCCAAGTTACTGCAGGCCTGTGATACAACGCCTGGCTAGTATTTTTATATTTTTAGTAGAGACAAGGTTTTGCCATGTTGCCCAGGCTGGCTTGAACTCCTGGGCTCGAGTGCTTGCCACTTTTAGGCATGAGCCCCCAGTCCTAGCCCAGAGCATTTTACGCTAGATGTCAGGACATTGCTGGTAGGAACAGTAGTCAGAGCAGAAGCTCGAGGTGCGGTCGTCAGGGATCCACGTGGAGTTGCAGCCTGCGTGAGACGCATTTCTTACGTGCATTTTCCCCACATTGAGAACCTTGCTGGTCATCAGCTTTAAGCCAGGTAGTTACCTCTTACCTAAAAAACTCCCAGGGCTGCTTTACATAATGCCGGGCGTCTGAGAAAATCAGATCCTGAAGTGTAACGAGAAACTGCTCTTTTCCATGAGTCTTTTCAGCCGTATCTTTCAATGCCCATGGGTCAAGGGTCCCTGCTTTGGCATTGTACACGGCCTCCTGCGGTGGGTGCTGGGGGCTGAGCCTTCCTGCCAGTCCCTGCCAAGCAGGGAAGACAAGTTTCTCTCAGTTGTGGTCTGTGCATGACATGAGTGGTCCCTCTAGTGAGTGGCTAGGCAGCTGTCCCCATCCATGGCTGGTGCCTGCTGGCAGTTAGCACCCACTGGGTCTCAGCCCAAGTTTCACGTGGATCCTGGCAAAATACTGGTGTCCTTTTCCACATAATATTTAAGGTATTTGTGTACAACCTTATGTATTTGTAGGAGTCGTTTGTTAAATTAGGTGCCTAGAAGTTGAATAATTGGCTTGAGAAACATGCACTGAAAATCGGTTAAGTCGTCAGGTGCAGTGGCTTATACCTGAAGTCCCAGTGCTCTGGGAGGCCGAGGTGGGCTGACTGCTTCAGCCTTGGAGTTCAAGACCAGCCTGGGCAACATGGCAAAATCACATCTGTATAAAAAATAAAAAAAAATGAGCTGGTGTGGTTTGCTGGTGTGTGCTTGTGGTCCCAGTTACTCAGGAGGCTGAGGTGGGAGGATCACTTGAGCCAGGCATGTGAGGTTGCAGTGAGCTGTGATTGTGCCACTGCGCTCCAGCCTGGGCAATAGGAGACCCTGTCTCCAGATAAAACGGATAGTCATAAATGATTTCTTAGAAGGAGTATTCGTCTATCAGCAGTGTTCCCCTACTGGGGTCTGTGTCTTCACACTTGCCAATACCCTAACCCTAAGTTGTTAACAGTTTCTGAAATGTGCATCTTGGCTATCTAGGCATCTTGTGTTACCTGCTTGTGCCTCCTCTTTTGTGGCCTTGTTGTCTTGATTTTACAGGAGTCCTTTACATGCTGGTTCAGTCCTTGGCCTGCTGTGTTGAAAGTGGGTTATTTTTCTATTTTTCTTTTGTTCATATGATGTGCCGTGTGGCAGTCTTATTTACACGGATGCGTGTGTCTGTTACGGAACTGCCCCATATTTTTATTTTGTATTCCTGTGTGCGTTTACTTTTATTAACTTGGAATGGTGCTTTGTGTGGAAAACAGCCAGCTTTGTCCCAGACTTACCCGCGTTGTCCACAGCATTTCTGCGGGCCTCTGGTCAGCGTCTGGTCTCTTGCACGCTTCATAGATGGCAGTGCATCTGGAAGCGCAGCTCATCTCAGCTCGACTAGGCCGGTCTTCGTCATGCTTTCAAACGAAAGGTGCAGTCCACGTGAGGAACACCTCATGCAGATTTGGGAGAGCCTTTGGCACCCGAGAGCAACGTGGCCGACTAGACTGATGTTCTGTTTTACACACAGCTGTAAAGTGCTGTCTTAATACATAGGTGTGCACATTTCTTAAATGTATCACTAAGTGAAGCCAGGATTGCCCTGTGCGTGCTTTCTTTTCTAACTGGTTATGGAAAACCAGGAAGTTGGTATGCCTTACATTGCTTTTATCTCATCACTTTAGTCTTGCATTATTCTGATTTTATTTTATTTTTGTTTTGAGACAGCGTCTCGCTGTGTTGCCCAGGCTGGAGTGCAGTCGTATGACCTTGGCTCACTGCAGCTTCTGCCCCCTGGGTTCAGCGATTTTCCTGCTTTAGCCTCCTGAGTAGCTGGGATTACACACACCTGCCACCACACCCAACTAATTTTTTGTATTTTTTAGTAGAGACGGGGTTTCACTGTGTTGGCCAGGCTGGTCTCAAATTCCTGACCTCAAGTGATCTGCATGCCTTGGCCTCTCAAAGTGCTGGAATTACAGGTGTGAGCCACTGCACCCGGCCCATTCTGATTTTAAAAATAATTGGAATATCATATTTTTTATAACTGGAAAATTCTATTAACTTTTCTCATTTTTATTTATTTTTTGGGATGGAGTCTAGCTCTGTTGCCAGGCTGGAGTGCAGTGGCACGATCTCAGCTCACTGCAACCTCCACCTTTCTGTTTAAAGCGATTCTGCCTCAGCCTCCCGAGAAGCTGGGATTACAGGCATGTGCTGCCACAACCAGCTAAGTGGTTTTTTATTTATTTTTAGTAGAGATGGATTTTCACTATATTGGCAAGATTGTCTCAATCTCCAGACCTCAGGTGATCTGCCCACCTCCGCCTCCCAAAGTGCTGGGATTACAGGCGTGAGCCACACTGCCTGGCCTACCCTTATTTTTCTTATCATTGATACAGGTGTTTTTGTCTTGTTTTCCGGCAGGCTGATTTTAGTATCTTACTGTGTGATTTTGCTCTTGCTTTCTGTGAAAGATTAGTTACTGTGTTTATGACTGAAAATTCCTCTACATGGCAATGCTGGGTTCTCTTTTACCTTGATTTGGCTTTGGGTTTTAGATTGTCTGGATGGAGGGCAAGGCTCCCAGCCCTGTGATGCTGCTGGTGAGTTGGGAGCCTCAGTGCCCTGCCTACCCCAGCACCAGGTTCAGCTGCCTGTGAAGCCTTTTGTTCCTGGCACGTTTCTTAGTTACTGGTACTTTTTAATCATTAAAAATGTTTTTAAATTCTTGATAGTAATTATATGCATTTGTGGGGTGCATGTGTGCAGTGGGTAATGGTCAGAATGGGGTGAATGGGAGAGCCACCTCAAACAGTTATCATTGCTTTGTGTTGGGAACATTCGGAGCCTCTCAGAAAACTTTATTTCCTAAGCTGGTTTGTTGAGGGTTTTTCTTTCTTTTTTTTTTTTTGAGACGGAGTTTCGCTCGTTACCCAGGCTGGAGTGCAATGGCGCGATCTCGGCTCACCGCAACCTCCGCCTCCTGGGTTCAGGCAATTCTCCTGCCTCAGCCTCCTGAGCAGCTGGGACTACAGGCACGCGCCACCATGCCCGGCTAATTTTTTGTATTTTTAGTAGAGACGGGGTTTCACCATGTTGACCAGGATGGTCTCGATCTCTTGACCTTGTGATCCACCCGCCTCAGCCTCCCAAAGTGCTGGGATTACAGGCGTGAGCCACCGCGCCTGGCCGAGGGTTTTTCTTTTATATCAGTTTGACCATTTGTATTTTCACTGAAGTCTCCATGCTGGTTTGAGGTCGGTGATCATGTGTTTTTCTCAGTCCGCGTTTGTCCGTTTTGTGTAAGGCTTTCAAGTGTTTTCCTGTTGGTTTAATTTCTCAAAAGAAGTTTTCTAATATAATATTTAAGTCTTATGCTAAGTTTTTCTTCCTATTCTCTTGGTTAGTTGTGCTTCTGCAGAATATTGTTTGACTTATGAAACATTTTTTATTTTTAAATCGTTTGTTCTTTTAAATTTCTATTTTCATTCAAAACGTGACCCATATGACGTCTTGTTTTGGAAGGAAGGGTTAAGAAACAGTAAATGTTGCGTTGTCATTCTGTGAGCTTTTATTCTACTGGATTTTTTTCCTATCTTGGTTAAGAAATGCTGCCCCTGTATATCTACCTTCTTTTTTTTTTTTTTTTTTTTTTTTTTGGCCACGAGGTGTGTTTTATTTTCATTATTCATACAAATAATTTTCTATAATATCCCGGGGCAAACAGGAGAATTTGGCAGTCCGATTGGGGGGGTCCCTTCAGAGACCCACAGGCCGGTAGCATCGGCGCGGAGTGCCCAGGTTCACAGTGCAGCTTGTGGCTCGTGTCCATCGTGCAGGTGGCTCCTCCTCCACATCAGGACTAGGGTCTCGAAGATGACGGGGGCAGGAAATACTCCAGGATCTTAGGAAATTTCACTCCGCTTCTCCTACTCAATGGTCTCTCTGGTTGGCAGGGTGTTCTTCTCCTGCGTCTCCGTTTCGTTCAGCTTGGCCTTATCGAAGCTGGCGATTTCTCCCATGTCTGGTTTGTCTGCCATTTTCTTAAAACAATCCGTACGGTCCCGCTCCAAGCCCGGGCTGCTGGTGCTCCCACTTGCGTTGCTGCAGCAAGGGACCCTACCTTCTTAAAATATGTTTAAGTCCAGGCATGGCGGCTCATGCCTGTAACTCGAGCACTCTGAGTGGCCAAGTGGGCGGATCGCTTGAGCCCTGGAGGTCAAGGCTATTGTGAGCCATGATTGCACTGTTGCACTCCAGCATGGGTGATGGACTGAGACCCTGTCTCCAAAGGAAAAAAAAAAATGGATTCTGGAACATCTGCTTGAGGTGGCCTCACTTTTTCCTCCTGTATGGATAATTTGTCCTCCACTAAGTAGTATGATTTAATTTTGAATGATTTGCTTGCCTGTGGCATTTGTGGGGAGGAAGTTTATTGGAATCTACCCTGTTAAAAAGACTGATGCGATTTCCCTCCCTTAAAGGAGAAGCCATGCATCACAAGAGCAGATGCCATCTCCGCCTCTCAGGTGTGAGCTTAGAACCATACAGAAAGTGGGCCAGGTGTGGTGGCATATCCTCTAATTCCAGCACTTTGGGAGGCTGAGCCACTCGGCCCGCAGATTGCTTGAGCTCAGCCAGGGCAACGTGGTGAGACTATCTCCACAAAGAACAGAAAAAATTAGCCAGGTGTGGGGGTGCATAGCTCTAGTCCCAGCTACTTGGGAGGCTGAGGTGCAAGGATTGCTTGAGCTGTGGGAGGTCGAGGCTGCAGTAAGCCAAGATTGCACCACTCTGCACTGCAGCCTGGGCACCAGAGCAAGACCCTGTTGGGGGGGGGACCCCAGAAAGCAGAGAGTTAGCTGTTTGTCTTCCCTGTCTGGTATTACCAGGGCTGAAAGTGTACTTCAGAGCACTATGTCTAATGGGCCGCGTTTTGGGGAGAAGGGAGTTGGTGATGGGCATATCTGCCCACCTAATGTAGTTAAAGCAGTAGCAAGTGAATGAAAAGCTTTAGCATAAATTCATCATTTCCTGTTATTTGACTTTTAACATATCTAGTTCTGCTTTTGTCTTTATTTTATCTTATTATTATTTTTTTTCTTTTTTTTTTTTTTTTTGAGACGGAGTTTCACTCATGTTACCCAGGCTGGAGTGCAATGGCGCGATCTCGGCTCACCGCAACCTCCGCCTCCTGGGTTCAGGCAATTCTCCTGCCTCGGCCTCCTGAGTAGCTGGGATTACAGGCACGTACCACCATGCCCGGCTAATTTTTTGTATTTTTAGTAGAGACGGGGTTTCACCATGTTGACCAGGATGGTCTCGATCTCTTGACCTCGTGATCTACCCACCTCGGCCTCCCAAAGTGCTGGGATTACAGGCTTGAGCCACCGCGCCCGGCCTATTATTATTTTTGAGACAGAGTCTCACTCTGTTGTACAGGCTGGAGTGCAATGGTGCAGTCTTGGCTCACTGCAACCTCTGCCTCCGTGGTTCAAGTGATTCTCCTGCCTCAGCCTCCCAAATAGCTGGGATTACAGCTGTGCGCCACCACGCCCGGCTAATTTTTGTATTTTTAGTAGTGGTGGGGTTTCACCATGTTAGCCAGTCTGGTCTGAACTCCTGACCTCAAGATCTTGCTTGCCTGGGGCTTCCAAATTGCTGGGATTACACATGTGAGCCACTGTGCCCCGCCGTGCTTTGGTCTTTCTGTTGAAGAGAATTGCATGGGACACTTCTGTTGTTGATGCAGGAGCAGGAGCTTAGCTTTGGGCTCCTGAGCTCGGGTCTTCTCAGCTCTGATGAGCTTCAGGAGAGGCAGTTGGAGGTTGAGCTCTAGAGTGGCTTATGCCTTCTTTTTTTTTTTTTTTTGAGACGGAGTTTCGCTCTTGTTACC